TAGAGCAGCGCGCGCTGGCCCTTCTGACGTGGCTCGCGAGCAGCCCGCAGACACCCGAGAAGTCGCCGAGGCCATGGGGGCCTGAATGGACTTGATGAGGTCGTAGCGTTGCGCGCCCCTCCCCCCCCTGCATCCGCGGGGCCTTGAGGATTGCCTTCCGCCGCGAGCGCCGCCAGAGGCGCGGCCGACGGTTCTCGGCAGACAGGGAGCTGCATATACTAAGGGGCACCTGCTGGAGGATTCGATTGAGCCTCTGGAAGGGCTCAGCGCTCATGGAGACAACATTTTCCCAGATCCAGTGCGCGGGCACTTGCGTCGCCTGGGTCAACGCGCGCCCTATCTCGGGAACGCGCGCGACTGGGCCCCTCCGATCGCTGCGAGCCCCGCGCCGATCTGCGTTGATTACGCTGACCTCGCGGCAAGTGCTGCCTCCAGCGACAGTCGAAGCTTCGATGCGACCCTGGAACAAGGTCAAGGCCTCAAGCTGCTCCACCGGGATCTCTTCCATTGGTTTCAGATCGATAAATGAGGGGCCAGCGCGATCGTAGCACGCGTCTAGCTCCTTGTCAACCCCACTGCTCACGCAGCCGTCGACGGTGACCCCTGCACGCACCAGAGAGACCACCGGGCCGCCTATCCCGTCAAACAGGCTGACCAGCAGCACGCGCGGCCCCTCCTCACTGACATCCGAGAACGAGACGTTGCCGGCGGTTTGTCGAAGCCAAAGGCAGCGGCAAGCGAGCGCGCACCCGCCCACTAACGCTATCCTTCGGCAGCTCGGCGCATCCTGAGGCGGCCAGCTCCCAGACAACATTGAAGATTCCAAAGAGGGGCCGCCTGTACTCCACCGCTTGTGCGCAACGGCCCAAGAAGATCCCCAGGGCCGGTCGCGCGCCAGGAGCCTCAGGGCGAGGCCATACAGCGGCGCGTTCCTCACTCGGTTGTTTGCCGCCCAGCCTGCAGCTCCATCGACCTCCACGCGCATGCGAGTGACGAGGACCAGCCGCTGGCTAGCCTCGTCGACGCCGATGGGGATGCATTTCATCGCGTAGCATTTCCTCATCCGTTCCTGGAGGCGGCCTGGGGTGACGACCAGAGGTAGCGCGGCCCCCCCGTCGAGCACCTCCCCAGTGTCGAAACCGCCATCACAGGCACCCCACCAGGCGCAGACGCCGTTGCTCGCGAAGGGGCCCGCCACCGCCTCAGGAACAAGGCGGCCCCTTCTCCACTCACAGCCTCGGAAAAACGGGCACCCTGCATGCCCGGCCCTTGGTCAGCACCGCCATCGCAAGCCATGCCTTCCATGCGTTAATCCCAATGATAACCACGGCCCGGCGCGCGCGCCGCCATGTAGTCCAGCCAAGGCCCAGGGAACCTGCACATGAGAAAGGCATCCTTCTGGTCGCCCCCGCTCCCGAGCAGCAGCTCGTTGGGCTGCGGCGACGTGCTGGCCCAAGTAGGCGAGGCGACTAGGGTAGCCGAATCGCCGACCAGCGGGCACAGGTAAGCGCGAGTGGGCACCATGCACGAAATCAACCTCGCCACCCTCGCAACCCCTGGGCCTGGACTGCCATTCCTAATGACTTCGAGGAGCCCGCGGGTCAAACGCCTGCACTGAGCTTGGAGAAAACGCTCAGCGCCACTGCTCTTCACAGACCCAGCTCCATCAGCTTCGCGGCAATGAACCGCCAGTCCTTGAGGCGCTCGACATTGACCTTCACCCTCTGAGGAGTAGTCGGCCACTCTGCCTCGGGCAGCACGGGGAGCCCTGGCTTAGTCAACAGCACTCTCAGGTCGGCTCCGACATACACGAGGACATCCAAGCAGCCAATATCCTCCACCTTGGATAGACCCGGCTCCGGCTCCTTGAAGTTGAGCAGCGAAGCTTGGCAGTCCCCAGGTTGCAGCTGGCCCTGCTCTTCGTCCTCTCCTGCGGCCAATAAGGCATCTCGACCTCCTCCCGCGAGCTCCAGACGCGCCTCTCGACCGTCTCACCGATCATACGCAGGCTAGCGGGCTGGGCCTGCGAGCAGGCCCCTGCAGCCCCCCCGCAGTCCACGCCCAGGTGGCCGAGATAGAGGTTGCCGAGACCCGCCATGTTGCAGAAAATCCAAACCTGGATCCTCATGTCCTGGGCCTCCAGTCTCTGGAAATCTGTCCTCGACGCCCAATCGACAGGGAGGGCCCTCGCCACTCAGTATACCCTTCGCGATCATATTACGTCCCCAGGCTAATGAAGGTGCCGGCTCCCTCACTGGCAGTGATAGCACGTCTCGTCCCACACCAGCCTCCAGCGATTGTGGCGCGTCGCCTCTGGGGAACAGCCCCACTAAACCTCCACTCGTGCTCGGGGACTTTCTCGCGTGAGCGAGGGCCCCGAAGCCGATCTCCATCTTCGCCATCCTGCCGCTGCGGGTTCGGCGCAGGCGGGAAGCGGCGCCAGCCCACCTCTGGCCCCTCCCAGGCGGGGCCTGTACATCGCCGACAGCCGCCGCCCCTCCGCTCAGTCCGCCGGTCGGTCGATCCGCTGCGCGGGGCCGCCGTGTCGAGGCGCGCTCTTCAGGCCAGCGAGACCCTCGAAGAACTCTCGCACGACCCTCTCCTTCAGCTGATTCGTCGGCCCCCCCTCGGCCCGAGGCGCGACCGCTCGATCCGATGTCCACGCTGGCAGGGTCAAACCGTCCATCGCTAGGGGGCCCTGGCAGTCTGTCAGCGCGGGCAGGACACCCCCCCGGCTGCCCGACGGGCAGCCGGCCGGCGTCCTGCAGGGAGTCGCTGCCCAGGCCGCTCTCGAAGCGCCGCCGCATCAGCTGGCGTGCCGACATCCGTGGTCGGCAAGGCTCTGGGGCCGCGCCATCGCCGCGCCTCTGTCGCCCAGGACGGGCAGGCGAGCCCGCGCCTCCATCCCGGTAGACGTCGTAGCCGCGAGACCCCATGCGGCCCAGCAGCTGAGCCATCTTCATTTCCGCCGCCGCTATGCCCATGACCACCTCCTCGCCCACAAACGACACGCTGAGGCCGCCGCTGTCGGGAGGGGTCAACTCGAACAAATTCGCCGTCCTCAAGCGACCAGCACGGATCGACCTCTGCACATCCCCGCTCTTGCAACCGATGTAGTCCAAGGAGGGCATGGGTTGACCTTTGACGATGAGGAAGGCCCACCCACACAGCTTCCGCAGCACCCTGTACCTGCCCTTGCCGAGCACCCTGATCGCACGAGAAGGCCGCAAGACACGCAACAGGAATTTCTTGGCCACCGCTCGCGCATGTCCAGGATCCCCGTCCTCGTCGATGTCAAAATACTGAACCATACTCGCCACCTCCTTCTCGGCGAGGAGGCAGGGACTCTTCCGCGTGATCCTCTTGTAGGTGAGGCGGCGAGCAGCGATGGGCGTCGCTCTCGAGGGGGTCCACGCTGTCCTTCTTGCGACAACAGCCCGCCGACACGCGCAAGACCGCCCCCTCGCCTGAGGAGGCAGCAGCAGGTCCAGCTGACCCACAACCCTCCGCAACCTGACTCGGATCTGCACTCGCGAGACGACACTGAATCAGTTCGCCCTGCTGCAGTTTCTTCCTGCCAGCAGCCTTGTTGGCCGGCTCAACGGCGGCGCTGGCGGCCGCGGCCCCAAGGGCTCCGCGCCTCCAGCATGCCAAGGCGCGGATGGAAGCCGTCCTTTGCCCCCGGGTCGCACGTCTCGGCCCTGCCCTCCAGCGCCTGCAACTCACGCTCCAGCTCCTCGAAAGCCTCGCCAACGTCCTCGCCGTCCGCTCCAACCTTCACGACAGCGAACTCTCCACTGGTCGCCAAGGGCCGACTGCGCGGAGCAGGCAGGGGGAATCCTTCTCCCACAGCAGACTTGTCCGCCGCAGGCGCAACAGCCTGAGCGAGAGTAGCTCGAGCCACAGCGCGTAGGGTGCCAGAGTCGCTTTCCGGCGACATCTCCATGTGGTAGTCGGCCGGCTGCGATGTCATCAACATGCGCGGGTCTGCCGCGCGCAATACCTGCATGTCGGGCCACGGTGCTCCGGGCCATCGCCCAACCACCAAGCTAGATATTTTTCGACTGCTCCGAGGTACTCGTCTCCATTCGCTGTACCTTCATCATGTCCGACAGCTGTCCCCGCAGGACCTCGAAGATCGGGCCGTCCGACCCGACGGGGTGGGCCACCTGATGTCGGAAGCACTGCCCCACAAGGGGGGCCAGTTGGACGGCGGCAGCTGTGAACATGGCGAGCCAAAGGCTTGGGGGCGACGCCGTTCCGTGGATGCTCAAAACCTCCCCCCAGGCCCTTCGCCGTGCGGGCGAAACGAAGCAACAGCAAACGCCGCTTGAGCCGCACACCTACGGAACCGAACGGCGGCGCTCCCAAGGGACCCCAACATCACCCCAACTCCTGAGGGTTGTATTTCATCCCCCATATATCCCAATAGTTTCTGGATGTTCGTCTTCCCTCTCACTGCCCATATCTTCCCATTCCCATATTTTCCTGGGAGTCGACGATTCATTGTGTCGGTATGTTTTCCCCTCCTGAGGGGAACAGAATGAGGGAAGAAGGAGCTTTTCCAGCCTCGGCGCGCTTCGGCCACGCATGGGCCCCCCGTCCTCCACCTAAATGACGACCGAAAACCAAGAGCCCCACCCGAGCCCGGAGTTGCCCTCGTTTCGCTCAGCCTCCTGGCTGCACACGGCACTTGAGGAATATCGTCGTGGGCTGCGCCCGAGGCGCTTAAGCTGCCAGCCGTACGAGCAGAGCGCCCATGCACCACACCATGCGCGGCCTGCTTCCAGGCCCCGCTCCAAACAGAGGCCTCCTGGATGGGGTCCGAGTAGATGGGGTCGGAAGATCGCGCGCCGAAGGCGTCGTCGACGAAGGAAGAATGGAAGAGCAAGGCTGTGGAGGAAGAGGAAGAGGAGGAGACCCGCGTCAGTTCGGATAGGGCACTGAACTGCGTCGCTGCGCTGGCGCGGTGGCGGGGCTTGCCGTAAGCAGCTGCATAC